GTTTGATACTTCTTGAGTTTGTGTTTGTCCTTTTTGTAAGTGATATATTTCTGAGGGGTTCAGTCCATATTTCAGGATCAGGCAGATCTGCCGCTTCTGGTGTAGTCTAAGAAGACAGGGTTGGCAGGATTTTGCTCAATGTCCAAACTGATGACATTTGAAACACCGGAGTGGATTTGGCATATACCCATCCATTCCAATATTGAAATATCCGGCTTAGATTGAAGTGTGAGTGAGTTGAGTTTTACACCGCTTCTAACAATATTCCGGCATGGGGACACCAGAAATGGGATCCACAAATTGTGCCAATGTGGGTGTAGGTGTTAGGTTTTATCATTCTATCACCATCTTTCCTGGTGAACCTTGTCACAGATGTTCCACCTTGATTCTTCAGACATGCCTGAGAGACACTTTGCAGGGTCACGTATGATGCCTCTACATGAATTTAAGGTTTTGTGCACCGAGACCTACAATCCCTCTATTTGCAAAATGATGTGCTTTGAGCTGTTGAAACTGCTGTATCCGAGGACATTCCACAAACGTCTTCAGTTGATTTTCAAATTACAAAAGGGTTGATTTTGAGGAATTCACCATCAACATCTTCTACAATCGGAAATCGTGGCCAGTAATCAGAACTGTGTACAGATTCATCATCTGAGAAATAGCAGTATTATACATGGTGGTAGAGCGAAGTGTATTTCTTAAATAGAGAATGCTATATAAAAAATCATGTATAACCGTGTTCGATTTAACAATACAGAGTACTGTATAGAAGAAAAGTTATGATCGTGTTCCTTATAACAATAGAGAATGCTATATAAAAGAGAAGTTATGATGGTGTTCGTTATAACAATAGAGAATGCTTTATAGAAGATAATGTATAACCGTGTTCGTTATAACAAAAGAGAACGCTATATAGAAGAGAAGTTATGATCGTGTTCGTTATAACAATAGAGAATGTTATATAGAAGATAATGTATAACCGTGTTCGTTATAACAAAAGAGAACGCTATATAGAAGAGAAGTTATGATCGTGTTCGTTATAACAATAGAGAATGCTATATAGAAGATAAGTTATTATCGTGTTCGTTATAATAATACAGAAAGTTTTATAGAAGGTAAGTTATGATCGTGTTCGTTATAACAATAGAGAATGCTATATAGAAGAGAAGTTATGATCGTGTTCGTTATAACAATAGAGAATGCTATATAGAAGATAAGTTATGATCGTGTTCGTTATAACAATAGAGAATGCTATATAGAAGATAAGTTATTATCGTGTTCGTTATAATAATACAGAACGTTTTATAGAAGGTATGTTATGATTGTGTTCGTAATAACAATAGAGAATGCTGTATAGCAGATACGTTATCATCGTGTTCGTTATAACAATACAGAATACTGAATAGAAAATAAGTTATGATCGCGTTCGTTATAACAAGAGAGAATGCTTTATAGAAGATAAGTTACGATCGTGTTCGTTATAACAATAGAGAATGCTATATAGAAGATAATGTATAATCGTGTTCGTTTTAGCAATAGAGAATACTGTATAGAAGAGAAGTTATGATCGTGTTCGTTATAGCAATAGAGAATGCTATATAGAAGACAAGTTATGATCGTGTTCGTTATAACAATAGAGAATGCTATATAGAAGATAAGTTATGATCGTGTTCGTTATAACAATAGAGAATGCTATATAGAAAATAAGTTATTATCGTGTTCGTTATAATAATACAGAACGTTTTATAGAAGGTATGTTATGATTGTGTTCGTAATAACAATAGAGAATGCTGTATAGCAGATACGTTATCATCGTGTTCGTTATAACAATACAGAATACTGAATAGAAAATAAGTTATGATCGCGTTCGTTATAACAAGAGAGAATGCTTTATAGAAGATAAGTTACGATCGTGTTCGTTATAACAATACAGAATGCTTTATAGAAGATAAGTTACGATCGTGTTCGTTATAACAATACAGAATGCTACATAGAAGATAAGGTATCATCGTGTTGGATATTAGAATACAAAATACTGTATAGAAGATAAGTTATGATCGTGTTCGATATAGCAATAGAAAATACTATATAGAAGATAAGTTATCATGGTGTTCGTTATAATAATACAGAAAGCTGTATAGAAGATAAGGTATAATCGTGTTCGTTTTAGCAATAGAGAATACTGTATAGAAGAGAAGTTATGATCGTGTTCGTTATAACAATAGAGAATACTGTATAGCAGATAAGTTATGATCGTGTTTGTTATAACAATATAGAATGTTCTAAAGAAGATAATGTATAATCGTGTTCGTTATAACAATACAGAATACTGTATAGAAGATAAGTTATGATCGTGTTCGTTATAAGAATAGAGAATGCTATATAGAAAAGAAGTTATGATCGTGTTCGTTATAACAATACAGAATACTGTATAGAAGATAAGTTATGACCGTGTTCGTTATAACAATAGAGAATGCTATATAGAAGAGAAGTTATGATCGTGTTCGTTATAACAATAGAGAATGCTATATAGAAGATAAGTTACGATCGTTTTCGTTATAACAATAGAGAATGCTATATAGAAGATAATGTATAATCGTGTTCGTTTTAGCAATAGAGAATACTGTATAGAAGAGAAGTTATGATCGTGTTCGTTATAGCAATAGAGAATGCTATATAGAAGACAAGTTATGATCGTGTTCGTTATAACAATAGAGAATGCTATATAGAAGATAAGTTATTATCGTGTTCGTTATAATAATACAGAACGTTTTATAGAAGGTATGTTATGATTGTGTTCGTAATAACAATAGAGAATGCTGTATAGCAGATACGTTATCATCGTGTTCGTTATAACAATACAGAATACTGAATAGAAAATAAGTTATGATCGCGTTCGTTATAACAAGAGAGAATGCTTTATAGAAGATAAGTTACGATCGTGTTCGTTATAACAATACAGAATGCTTTATAGAAGATAAGTTACGATCGTGTTCGTTATAACAATACAGAATGCTACATAGAAGATAAGGTATCATCGTGTTGGATATTAGAATACAAAATACTGTATAGAAGATAAGTTATGATCGTGTTCGATATAGCAATAGAAAATACTATATAGAAGATAAGTTATCATGGTGTTCGTTATAATAATACAGAAAGCTGTATAGAAGATAAGGTATAATCGTGTTCGTTTTAGCAATAGAGAATACTGTATAGAAGAGAAGTTATGATCGTGTTCGTTATAACAATAGAGAATACTGTATAGCAGATAAGTTATGATCGTGTTTGTTATAACAATATAGAATGTTCTAAAGAAGATAATGTATAATCGTGTTCGTTATAACAATACAGAATACTGTATAGAAGATAAGTTATGATCGTGTTCGTTATAAGAATAGAGAATGCTATATAGAAAAGAAGTTATGATCGTGTTCGTTATAACAATACAGAATACTGTATAGAAGATAAGTTATGACCGTGTTCGTTATAACAATAGAGAATGATATATAGATGATAAGTTATGATCGTGTTCGTTATAACAATACAAAATGCTATATAGAAGATATGTTATGATCGTGTTCGTTAAAACAATAGAGAATGCTATACAGAAGATACGTTATAATCTTGTTCGTTATAACAATACAGAATACTGTATAGAAGATATAGAGAATCTCACCCAAGTGTCTTCTGATATCAATTATATCAACACGACTTGATAAAAGTACAAATATCCGAGGCTTGCCGAGGATATTTTTACTTTTATCAACGAGTGTTGATATATTTGATATCAGAAGACACGAGGGTGAGATTCTATTTATCATCCAAAATCACTCTTCATTAATTTTCAATGAAAAATGTACATCTCTGAACATGGTACTGTCATTAGACTTGCAGTGCAGCGATGTCATAGCATTGTGACGTCATCAAGTACATGACGTCATAGCATTGTCAGGGCATTGTACAAAATCTACTGTCAAAACGATATCTCCTAGGAGATATCGTTTGATCTCACACAAGCGATATCTCCTGTGGAACACAGTTTTGGATGATAAAAGTAATTATCGTGTTCGTTATAATAATAGAGAATGCTGTATAGAAAATACGTAATGATCGTGTTCGTTATAACAATAGAGAATAGTGTATGGAAGATAAGTTAAGATCGTGTTCGTTATAAGAACAAAGGATGCTATATAGAAGGTAAGCTATAAACGTGCTCGATATAACAATACAGAATACTGTATAGAAGATAAGTTATGATCGTGTTCGTTATAACAATATAGGATACTGTATAGAAGATAAGTTATGATCGTGTTCGTTATAACAATACAGCATACTGTATAGAAGATAAATTATGATCGTGTTCGTTATAACAATAGAGAATGGTATATAGAAGATAAGGTATGCTCGGTTTCGTTACAGAATACAGAATGTTATATAGAAGATAAGTAATTATCGTGTTCGTTATAACAATATAGAATGCTATGTAGAAGATAAGTTATAATCGGTTTCGTTACAAGAATACATAATGCTTTATAGAAGATAAGTTGTCATCGTGCACTTTATAACAATAGAGAATGCTGTGTTGAAGATAAGTTATGATTGGATCTCGAACACTGTAATAGGGAGCATTGTCCATGACAACAAGACTTTTGTAAGGCAGAGCTGGCTACAATTGTTACTCAACATACTGTGTGAAAACCGTTGAGTTCATTTCTGTATGATAGTCCCTACCATCTGTGCTCTTTGACCGAAATACCAGATCACACCCAGGTAGGAATCCACGGTGGGGCAGTTGATACATTTTCTATGTACTATGAACTAAATGAATTTCTAATGGAATAACCATAGGATCAGCAGTGTTTGAAATTCAGAAACATGACTGTTGAAAAATATGAGATTTATGCTTAATTATAAAGAGATACATGTTTTACAATATGTGATAACATATGCACATTGTGCTTATGTAGCAGCTTTATTTGGATCACCCTACCTCCTGAAGATGTCAGAGATGTATCAGCATATAGATAATCTTTTCCTGTTGATATCGAATCGCTGAAAATTGTTTTCCTTTTCAGTGGACTGGGCTCTGCAACAATTTAGCATAAAGAAATTATCAGACTTTTCAAAGCTGACTTTTCTAACTTATGCACATAACCTGATAACAATGTTGTAATTGCATCAGAACCAGTAACACAGTTGATTTATGTCAAGCTACCAGGACGAAGCCTGACTTGCTTTGAGTATACACACTTCAAAATGACAGACAGCGTTTTCGTCATGCAGCGGTAACCATCATACAAAGGAAAGACGAATATTGCCCATCAAAAAGCCGTAAATATCTGGCAGAAGTAGAGAGAAAGCCTTACGACAAGAAGACAAAGCCAGCAATATCCCCCACAAAAGAATAATAGTCTTCATGAATACGTCAACTAGTTAAGACTATGTCAAATGTATATAACGGGAGGATAGTGTTGAAATGTTTTCAAGTTCTGCTCCTGATATGAGCACAACCACTATTTCCATTCGAATTCAAACTTGTTGCAATGGAAACCCAAAAAATATTTTATTCAAAAATCTAAAAATACACAAATCACCAGGCCTATCTATGTGCCAAGTTTGGCCAAGAAATATTGAACGGTTTTAAGGTTCTGTTCTGGGACAAAGGCACTGTATGGTCGCTTGTATGGTGATCTACCTTCACTTGTTGGCGATCTATAGCCCATTTTTTGTGTTATAATGTCCTAAATAGTATATACTTTTAAGTCACATGCTAGCTTTAACTGTCCTTCGCAGTTAATTTACTGTCCTTCGCAGACAGAGCTCAAGGTATAACACTATACATTATTTAAATTTGTCCCTCTTATTCACGATATGGCTGAAACACTGCCAAAGTGAACATTGCCGATTTTTAACTCTCTCACATTCTGTTCCGGAAAGGAGCACTAACACCAATTTCAGTCGAGGTCGAGGTCAAAATTGTTGCCATGACAACGCAAAAACCCATCTTATTCACAAATCCAATGGAGGCACCAATTCATCGCCAGGCCTATCTATGCGCCACGTTTGGGGAAGAAATATTGAGCGATGTTTAAGTTCTGCTCCGGAAAATAATACCCTCCGCAAAACGCATCGCGGCTAACAATCACATGTACAAGCAGCAATTATTTAACATGTGTCATATTTTCAAAGGGTCAGATATATAATCACTCAGAAAAAGAGGCTGTTGCAAATGATGTACCTCTTGTATCCACTTTCCTTTCATACTCACTCAGGTCTTGTAGCTTTATGTGAAGGGTTATGTCCTCAACTTCTGAGTCGAATTCACGCAATCAGTGTAATATCAGGTGTTCTAATTCCTGATGCCTCTTTATCATCTCTGGTTTCGTGCTCAAACACAAACACTATACACCCTCTTCTGACTTCTGTCAATTTAGCACGATGTGTTCGCCTCGTTGAATCCTGTATTTCGTACAGTGGCTCCATCACCCTCGAGGAGGGATCAACATTTAACACCTGTTTGTTCGGCTTTGTCTTAGAAGTCCACTCAGTTTTGCAAGTGCTATTATAGGTTTCATCACTGTCTTCATCTTTGAACTGGACATGCATTTCTTTTGTTTTCTTTCCATCCTTTCATCTTGTAACTGAAACATATGTATAGCGCACACAATCAATGTATAGTTTAAGTGGGTGAAGTGTAACTGATATTTATCAACTACTATATACAGTTTAGCGTTACATTGATGCGTTGTGTCTTACCTTTGGTGCGACAGTGTCGTATCTTTCCACAAACTTGAAAGCTTTTCGATTCTATTTTACCTGCAATAAAATGTGTATTAATGGTTGCAAGCTCATATGTTTCCACAGCACTGTGTGTAGATTGTCTTGAGAACTGAAGATTAGTATTAGAAATGCGCTAGATTCCATGCATGAAAGTAAAGGAAAGTAAATTGCATAATTACAACACGTACATTATTTAAAGAAATATGTGAGTTCAAACATTCAAGGTATATATAATCTTGTTCGTCTAATGCTTGGTTAAATTTGCCAATACTGCCATGATCTGGTATGGTATAGCATATATCCAGCGAAGGTCCATGCAGGTAGCAAAAGTACTGTAAGTCCCCACAGTCTCTTGTATCTACCTACAGTTGCTGACGATCTATAGTCCGCTTTTATATTGTATTGTCTTCAATAGTAAAATAGTGGGGCGGTGGGGTAGCCTAGTGGTTAAAGCGTTGGCTCGTCACGCAGAAGACCCGGGTTCGATTCCCCACATGGGCACAATGTGTTAGCCAATTTCTGGTGTCCCCGCCGTGATATTGCTGGAATATTGCTAAAAGCGTCGTAAACCTAAAAACTCAGTCAGTAAAATAGTTTTTACATGCTAGTTTTGCATTTATATCAGTATTATCTAGTTGTTCTAACTGTCCATCATAGACAGAATATCTAATACATACTTATTTATTTGTTTATATATTTTCAATATATGAATTGTTTTAGCACACGATATGGCTGAAATATTTCCGATGAGAGTATACATTTGAACTCACTCACTCACTCACACACTACAACATGTACCTAATTTACAGGAGATATATGAGACTGTGAACAACAGATGCAGCATACTGTGAAGGGCATTAAAGGTATTCCAGATATGAGACACATACTAAGGGATGCCTCGTTCCACATAAACCTGAAGGTACTAACAAGGGTGGTAACTTATAGTTAAGGTATTTACAATAGGTTAAAGTTAACATAGAATAACAATAGTATGTCAGAGTAGAAGGAAGTAAAGTTTCGTACCTGAGTGAATTTACTAGACAAAAACCCCCTGATTTGTGACTGTCATCCGTATTATATATCTATTCTATCTATCGCAAATAATCGCGTTTACAGCTAAAACTTACGATAACGTTGTTATTGTGAACGTGAGATTATGTCATTTAGTTGGACCGAAGCATCGATGGCCAGTCGCGAGTATGCCACGAAGGTATATGTGACACGCACGTGATTTGACCAGCGTGGAATACAAACAGCCGTAAAGACAGATAAACGTAATGCACCTAGGTTCTGTTAGCTTTAGAGATACTGGTCCCGGATTCTCGTTATCAATGTGACCCTTGGCAGGTTTAAGATTGAGGAACGTAGTCGGTTAGTCTGTAATATTTCCAGTTTTCAATAGCGCATATCGTTATAAAATATTGGTAAAACTTTGTCTAGTATTTCCGTGTTAATAACGTAGTCGGTTAGTCTGTAATATTTCCAGTTTTCAATAACGCATATAGTTATAAAATATTGGTAAAACTTTGTCTAGTTTTTTCCGTGTTAATAACGTAGTCGGTTAGTCTGTAAATTGACAAGAATCAGGTCTTTGTAAATGGGTTTTAAAACGGGTTTTTTTTTGCGCCCGGCTTCTACTCTTATTTCCGGAACAGGATTTAGATTAGATGTGTAACAGTTCCAAGTTCAGACTTCACGAATCGTTACATCAATGGTATCGTAAAATCACCGAAGGCGTTGAGGAAATACATTTGGAGGTGAGCTAAGATTAGAATATTTCTACTGACTGAGTTTGGTTTTACGCCGTTTTTAGCAACATTCCAGCAACATCACGGTGGGGGACACCAGAAATGGGCTTCACACATTGTGCCCATGTGGGGAATCGAACCCGGGTCTTCTGCGTGACGAGCCAACGCTTTACCATTAGGCTACCCCACCGCCCCAGAATATTTCTAAGTACACGTGGGTATAACACTTTTCATGATCAATTTAAAAAAAAAATACAATCTGTATTTTTATTTGTTTGTGTAAAGAACACACGGTAACTATGTTGTACGTTGTTGTCACCGGTGTATTGTGGCTGTTGGTCAACGGTAAAATTCAGGGAAACGGTCGTCACGATCTAGGGGGAAGTAACTCTGAATTGGGCACGCTTCTCGGACTGACGAAGTGTCGTAAAATCACATACATCTCACCGTGGACCCACGTTTCGTCACAGCAGCCATGGCAAAGATGTTTAAATATTATTAAAGGAGAATACGAACGAACACAAAACTTTTGATATATTGTAAAGGATATTTTAAAAGTCACATTCCGTGATTAAAATTGAACAAAAAATTTGTAAAATAGCAATAAAAACACAAAAACGTACTCGTATTTCCGCCTCTTACGGAAACACCCGACAGTTAATGAGCAGAGGGGGCATCCCGTGACATGACGTCATAAGTGTCTGTTGCTGATGGCTTCCTCTTTGATTTACCTCACAACTTAACAGTGTCCGTGGATTCTGAAGCTGTAAAAAGTGTTCCTGTTGTAATTTCTGAAATGGATGTTAGACCGTATCAATACGATCCGATTTTACATCTTGCAAGACAATCTTCCACTGAAGATGAAGAAGAAGAATCAAGTGAAACGGAGGCACCGCTTGAGGTCAAAATAAATTTTAAAACAGATCATATCATTTAACAAAAAATAACACTGGAATTATTTTGTTGAAAAAAATTAGGATCCTAGTTCTCGTTAATAACGTATCAAGTCTCCATACAAGATCCCAGCCTGGTCGAGCAGAGATATATCCGCGACGCAGATAAGTTATTCCCCGAAAACTGGTGAATTGTAAAATGCTAGTCAGGACAACGTATGTTTCCCCATTGTTTGGTTATGGAAATAGTTATGGTACTCGGTCATAGCCTTAGAATGACATCCTGTCAGCCAATGAGAATACAGAACAACTTTCACAGCACACACACTACAGTCAAATAGCGTGTCTGATGCCGTCGTCCGTAATTGGACAAAATGGAAAACAATGAAAGCAACAAGTACTTCATGATTTGCCGTTGTATTCGGCAATGTTTCGAGTTGACTGCATCATTTAGGGCTCCGAACTGAAAAGAACGTTATAGCGAAACATTTTCAAGCTTATGTGAAATCTCTTACTGATTTTGGTGATATATATCTCATGTGTACCAGTCGAACTGCCCCAGCTACATAATGCCCCAGCAAATTTGGTCATTCATTCTAATTTGTTCAAATTTATTTATAATGATTGAATATATGCCGTAAAGGCATAGTTTTTGTCAACTTATTATGATATGTTGTTCTTCATATTAAAGTTATTACGAAGTAATATTTCTGATAAATGTTTCATTAGTAAACTCATAACTATGTATATACTTATATATGAAGAACATAATATCAAATTTGACAAAACTATGCATTTATGGCCTATATTTATTCATTTCAAATAAATTGGGGCATTTTGACTCTCCCACTGGGGCAATTTGTCCAAATTTGCTGGGTCAGTTTGTAGCGGGGGCAATTCGACTGGCAATCGGACTTGATTCAATGTATGTTAAAAATACCACTGACAGTAAATTGTTACAGGGAATGATGGAGTATAATTGATGAATCTCGTGGGTACTTTTTCCTTCTTCAGCCTAGCTTGTGGATTTCCATACCCCATGCGTGCATGCGTTTTTTGTTACTAAAAATATGGAACAGATAACCCAGTGTCTGACATCATGAGCATTAGGCTTGTGTTTTGTTTGTTTGTTGTTTAACGCTACACTCAGCAATACTCCAGCTATATGACGGTGGTCTGTAAATAATCACATTTGGACCATACATTCCAGTGATTGACATCATGAGCATTAGGCTTGTGTTTTGTTTGTTTGTTGTTTAACATTACACTCAGCAGTGCTCCAGCTATATGACGGTGGTCTGTAAATAATCACATTTGGACCATACATACCAGTGATTGACATCATGAGCATTAGGCTTGTGTTTTGTTTGTTTGTTGTTTAACGCTACACTCAGCAATGCTCCAGCTATATGACGGTGGTCTGTAAATAATCACATTTGGACCATACATTCCAGTGATTGACATCATGAGCATTGGGCTTGTGTTTTGTTTGTTTGTTGTTTAACATTACACTCAGCAATGCTCCAGCTATATGACGGTGGTCTGTAAATAATCACATTTGGACCATACATACCAGTGATTGACATCATGAGCATTAGGCTTGTGTTTGTTTGTTGTTTAACGCTACACTCAGCAATGCTCCAGCTATATGACGGTGGTCTGTAAATAATCACATTTGGACCATACATACCAGTGATTGACATCATGAGCATTAGGCTTGTGTTTTGTTTGTTTGTTGTTTAACGCTGCACTCAGCAATGCTCCAGCTATATGACGGTGGTCTGTAAATAATCACATTTGGACCATACATTCCAGTGTCTGACATCATGAGCATTATGTTTGTTTTGTTTGTTTGTTGTTTAACGCTTCACTCAGCAATACTCCAGCTATATGACGGTGGTCTGTAAATAATCAGATTTGGATCATACATTCCAGTGATTGACATCATGAGCATTAGGCTTGTGTTTGTTTGTTGTTTAACGCTGCACTCAGCAATGCTCCAGCTATATGACGGTGGTCTGTAAATAATCACATTTGGACCATACATTCCAGTGTCAGACATCATGAGCATTATGTTTGTTTTGTTTGTTTGTTGTTTAACGCTTCACTCAGCAATACTCCAGCTATATGACGGTGGTCTGTAAATAATCAGATTTGGATCATACATTCCAGTGATTGACATCATGAGCATTAGACTTGTGTTTGTTTGTTTGTTGTTTAACGCTACACTCAGCAATGCTCCAGCTATATGACGGTGGTCTGTAAATAATCACATTTGGACCATACATACCAGTGATTGACATCATGAGCATTAGGCTTGTGTTTGTTTGTTGTTTAACGCTGCACTCAGCAATGCTCCAGCTATATGACGGTGGTCTGTAAATAATCACATTTGGACCATACATACCAGTGATTGACATCATGAGCATTAGACTTGTGTTTTGTTTGTTTGTTGTTTAACGCTACACTCCAGCAATGCTCCAGCTATATGCATGACGGTGGTCTGTAAATAATCACATTTGGACCATACATACCAGTGATTGACATCATGAGCATTAGGCTTGTGCTTTTGTTTGTTTGTTGTTTAACGCTACACTCAGCAATGCTCCAGCTATATG